CACACACACACACACACACACACACACACACCGGTGAATAATCTCTCTGACAAACATTCCCTTTGTTTGAGAGAAGGCAAGAGGGACAAACAGTTTCAGTTTTGCTCAGGTGTTTCAAATGCTGCCAGATAATAAAAAATAATATTGCAAAGGCTGCTTTTTGTGCACGTGACTGTTTGTTCTCCACGAGACATTTTCAGGAGCTGGGAGCCTCTCTGACCTCAGGCCTGTGTGTTGTTGTGACTTGAATTCATTTTCTAATTAACTAGAAACACCCAAAAATAATTTTACGCTGGAATTTGCATCATAGTTGGAATACTAATATCCAGACCTAAGACATTTAATTGAAGCCTCACACATTTGCACTTCATGTCCTTCAGTCGTTCCAGGAAATTAAATTATTTGGATTTTGAGGCAACTTCGGAATTCAAAACAACTTTATCTGATTTTGAAAAAACATACAGGGTGTTTAAGTTTATCTCGTCATGACGGTCCATAAAACAGCTCATTCATATTTACATATATTATGTTTATATGCATCTCCTATAATATTGTGACTGCACGGATCTGCATGACGTTTACTGAGGTTACCACTGTATTTTTTGTTTTATCTTTTAAAATGAATATGATCCTTATAAAAGGCTGAAACATTGTCGGTTTAAAATGACATTTCAAAAGCACTGCTGATGCCTTTTTAATGTATTCCCAATTTAAAGTAAGACCTGCTTTTTCAAGCGAGTTCAGGTAAATTTGCATCGTTTATTATCTTTAAAAAGAATACAAGAGGAAAAAGAATACACCTTTCTGATGATCGGAATCAGGAGAAGCTTTGTTAATCCGTTGTCTCATATTAATTGCTTCTCCCGCGGTAATAATAAGTGGGAAAATAAGATTGCATATCATTTGAAAAGAAGAATATCACAAAAAAAAAATCTGCTGAATTAATTCCGCATTTTGCATGCTGAGCTTATGTGTTTATTGAATGCAAATGTCCCTGTTAGAAATGTCTCGAATGACATTTATCTCGCGACATTTCGTGGAAGCTTGCACCCTAAATCTGTACTTTAAAATGAAACTGTCAGTGGACAACACCAACAACATAAATTAGGGAGCTGTATTCAGAAATTCTTAGATTAAGGTTTTCTAAAAACCCGAGGACACTGCAGACTTGTTGAAGAGTATAAACCCTTCAATTTTGAGGCAAACTTTCACGTGCAGCCATGCACGAACATGCACGCACACACACACAACCCCCTGCACCACTGCAGACCAAACAGACGCACCGGGCCTCATGCATTATGAATGTACATTTACACTTGTGTGCTCTCATGGGATGAGCTTTAGCTTCATATACATTCACTCATTGGTGTGTCCAATGTGTTTCTTCCTGCTCTTCCTCACCCCTGCTGGACACACACACAGACACACGCACACTTACGCAGGCAGAGGTGAGGTTTCCGTGACTGACAGGTGGACATGCAGGACAGGCTGCACTTTTCTATCACAAACAGCTCCAACAGACGTTTTTTGTTTCAAGTTGCTGATGAAAACAAACGGCTTGTCAGCGACATGATGTGAGATTAGTTTCGGGTTTGCTTTTGAAGGGCCGTCTTGTTTAAACACGGTGTCACCGTCCTTTATTAGCGACGTCACGGGTTAATGGGAGTATCGATTTTACTGTCTGGGAGCGTGTGTGTGGGGTGTGTGTGTCGCGGATGTCATGATGGCATGAGAGAGGACGACTGAGTTTAAACTCAGAGGTGACATGAAGGCTTTGGATTAAAACACAGCTCTGCAGCAAAAATTAGTAGCTTTTAATTTGCAATCCGGATTTAAAAACATTGTTAATGAGAAAATAAAGGCCTGTTTTCAGGTTTATACCTCAACACAGGCCTGAAATGATTTTTCCCACATTGAGAATTTAGGCAAAGACAGATTGATATGTTTCAGTTGTGAAATCCTTTACTGGAGGCCATATCTGGCACGCAGCAGCAGAGATTTAGGCTTCATGGGGAAAGTTTTCAAAGGTCATGACACCAAGTGACAGGTCCCGCCCTCAGGCCCAAGGCTGTCTCAATAGCAGACTAAAACTGATTTATCTATAGACTGCAGCCTGCTGCACTAAACTGGGGAGGCAAGGAAACAAAGTCGAATAAAATACAAAGAAATAATAAAAATCTAAATTAAAATTTTCAAAAAAAAAAAAATTACTCTGACACATTTAGACTTTCACACGAAAATGAACCTTATTAATATATTTTTTATTTTTTTAAGAAATGAATAAGCCTGCAAAAGCAACGGCAGAACTGTACTATTGAATTATTATAGCGTGATTAAAAATATTGTGTAGGCCTATTCAAAATCACAAACACTGACAGACACATCAAACCTCCATAGGATTTATTTATTTATTTATTTATTTATTTCTATTCATTTATTTTTTTCAATTCTCCACTGTCTGTTCTTTAACCTATGGAAACATGGTGATCTGACATTAGTTATCAAATTTAAAATTAGTGGTCCCCATTATGTTACAAACCTGCAGCCAGGAAGTCATTACACTAAATTTTCTTTTCCCCCAATCAGAATAACAATTAATCTAGCAACTTTTTTTATTTATTTTTTTTTTTTTACAAAATCTTTATTATGTAAATTTAAGTGTTAAATTGTAGGCCCATATAATGACACGGTAATGTTGTAGTGGGAAAGGCATCAATAGGCTGCATTTTTTTCCTAACAATTGCATCTCTTCCTCTCATTTGCGTCGTTATGATAAACTCCTGGAGCTTTATAGTTAACTTTTTTTTTTTATTTACTCCACTGCCTACAGCAAAATAATCAGTCAGAAGATAATCAGCCAAAGCTTTACTCAAAGCCGCCAAATAAACACAAACACGCAGCTAAACAAACGTGACAAACAAACCGTAAACTGCCGTTTCATAAAGACAAAATTAAAGAAATTATGAGTCATTAGTTTGTGTTATTTCGCAGTAATGTGCATCTCGGTGCAGAGAGAGAGAGCCTGCAGTGCTGCATGGTGTAAGTGTAGCAGGGCTGGCTCGGGTTATCTGTGAATGGGCTCTTTATTGGAGGCGCGGAGCGGGGATTTGCCTTTTATTCGCCTCGCTATGGAAACGCGCTCGACGGCAGAAAAATGTTGATGTGAATAAAAGGAATCAGCACAAGGAGCGTTTCTAGAGAAGCATCTGTTACACTTAGAAACTTAGACTATCGAGAGCAATACAACCCCCTCTCCAAGTCCCTCTCCTGTCTGCTTTATGCTCCCCAAAACGCACACTTTATTTTTGTTAGCACAAAAAAAATGTAAGCTGTATTTTTTTAGCGATTCTGTGCGTTAAAGCAGTTAGGCAAATTTTAAAACCTTAAACTGTGCTAATACCGACAGGTTTAGATTTACTGAATTAGTTTGGATTTTCTCTCAGTGAAGAATTCCTCCAAAATCAATGCGCTTTGGCGTGTCATTCAATATGACACGTGTGAAAATACAGGAATTGCATTGAAATACCACTGCTACCATTGTGCTGGAATTGTACTAATTGTTTTGCATATAATTCTGCATAATTCTATCCCATAATGACTCAAAAGAAGCAATCCGGTTCAGCAAAGTAGGCCACTCGAACAACCCTGCCATTCACATCAAATATTCAGCCACTTTAATTAAGTTTCAAAGAGTAAACTCCATGAAGAATTTACGCGCAACACCACACTGAGTATTAGAGTAAGAACGCAACAACAAACAAATACATGTGCTGGATTATTCCCATCCATACACAAGCCTGCAAGCAACAACAGCACGAGGCTACAGACTGTCCTGTCATCACCTCTCCTTCACTGCCGCTGCTGTCTGTCATTCCTCCGGTTACCGAGGCCCAGTCCACCCTCCAGCCGCCCCGTCCACACACATCCAGCCCGCGGTCAGCTCACCTGCTCCGGCCTCCTCTCTGCCTCTGTCTCCACAAGCAGCTCCTCGGCTCAGCGCTCTTTAATGACTTTCTGGTGGCTGCAGCCTTCTTTTATTTCTCCTAAATGTATGAAAATGTATGCAAATTTAAATCAAGCTTAACCTGGAAGCTCGAGCAATATATTTAATGGAATTTCAAACCAATAAGGAGACCCGGACGCGGTCCTCTAATGGCAAATATAATTACGCAGCTAAGTTAGTTCTCAGATATGCAGATAGATCTTTTTCAACTCTGAGAGGACTTGATGAGATTCTTTAAGATTGCAAGTGTGAGTGTGTAGTGAGTGAGTGAGGACAGATTTATTTCTTTGAGGAAATGCAGAAATGAAGTTTTAGGTTGTAAACATGCCCAGCGAGTGCACGGTTTTCTGTGTGGGAGCAAAATGTGTGAGTCCGGCCTGTCAGAGAAATTAAAAAGAATAAATAAATATATTATGCACTTCTTATTTTAAAGACTAAATGACAATTATAGGCCCAGGACGTGCGTGTTTTTGTCTGACCAAAATGAGTATGGATAGTTAATGTCCTGTGCGTAAAACACTTGTGCGTAAAACACTACCTTGAGAAGCTCGATCTGTAAACACCTGAGGAAGTATTCTCTAAAAGTTAATAATTAGCTATGAGAACTGCTCTTGGTTTGATTGTATGCTTCTAAATTAAGTACTGGCACGTCTAACAAATGCCATTGCGCTTTAATCTCCTCCTTCGCACGCGCTCAAGGGTGACAGGAGCAGCAATAAAGTCGCGCGTAAATCAGTTGGAAACTTTAATTAATAAACAGGAACTGCGCTCCACGCGCACATCGTTCCACAGCCAGACCCACTGGACCAACACTCCGACTCACTTCCGGTTCGACTGCCTGTAACCCTTTCCTATCCGCAGCTCTGCTTCCAGAGGCGGAGGTTCGGGAATCTGCGCCGTCATTGGTCGAGACGCGTCGTCACTGCGTCTCGGTCGGACTGTGAGTGGTGGTGGAGGCTGTCAGTCAATGCCAGGCTGCTGCCGAGACTCCAGAGAGAGGGAGATGTCAGAGGCTGAGTTGCTCCCTTCCTTCAGTAGCACTAGTGGGGTTCAGCAGCCAGCATGGCCACAGCTGCCTCCAGCCCCTACACCCTGCTCAGCTCCAGTCCCATGATCCACCCGGACAGCCAGGCCATGCAGCCTGCTAGCCCCTACAGAGGACACCAGAAGCTCCTCCAGAGTGACTACCTGCAGAGCGTCCAGAGCAACGGACACCCCCTCGGGCACCAGTGGGCGAGCAGTCTGTCGGAGGGCAGCCCCTGGTCGGCCTCCATGGAGCAGCAGGACGTAAAACCAGGCCGAGAGGACCTGCAGCTTGGCATCATCCATCACCGTTCCCCGCACGTAGCGCATCACTCCCCTCATCACAACAACCATGGCAACCACCCGGGGGCCTGGGGAACTCCGGTGTCCCACAACTCCTCCATCACCAGCGGGCAGCAGATCAACATCTACTCCCAGACGGGCTTCACTGTCAACGGCATGCTGGACCACGGTGGCCTCACACCTCCACCCAACCCGCAGGGCCAAGGCATGCACCCGGGCCTCAGGGACACACTCAGCCCCGAGCACAGCGACCTCGGTGGGCACCACTGCCACGATCACTCCGACGAGGAGACGCCGACTTCGGACGAGCTGGAGCACTTTGCCAAGCAGTTCAAACAGCGGAGAATCAAGCTGGGCTTTACGCAGGCGGATGTGGGTTTGGCTCTGGGCACGCTGTACGGTAACGTCTTTTCCCAAACCACCATCTGCAGGTTCGAGGCTCTGCAGCTGAGCTTTAAAAACATGTGCAAACTAAAGCCGCTGCTGAACAAGTGGCTGGAGGAGGCAGACTCGTCCACAGGCAGCTCTAGCAGTATAGACAAGATAGCAGCTCAGGGGAGGAAGAGGAAGAAGAGGACGTCCATCGAGGTCAGCGTGAAGGGGGTTCTGGAGACGCACTTTCTCAAGTGTCCCAAACCCTCCGCGCAGGAGATCACCTCGCTGGCGGACTCGCTGCAGCTGGAGAAGGAGGTGGTGCGCGTGTGGTTCTGCAACCGGAGGCAGAAGGAGAAGCGCATGACGCCGCCGGGAGAGCCGCCGCCGCACGAGGGACCCTATTCTCACAGCGGGAGCGCGGGAGACGCCTCCTCGTGCCATGATCTCTGACCGAAGCACCGGGAGGATTCCCCCGGCACAGACTCTCGAGCGCAGGGGCGCGCGGTGGCACCTCCGAGCCCCCGTGCCTGTCCCGGTACAGACTCCTCCAGATGCCTCCAGCACTGAAACACAATAACAATAACAGAGATACCTGTTCAGCCTTCGTCATTTTCTAACTGTCATGAGGGCATTATCCTATAGCGGCATATCAAAAACGTCACATTTCAGATTACCTTTGGAGCCCGCCAAATTATTTTCTACATCACGGATATAAATACAAAATGTGCCTAATAACCTGCCAGCGCCTTTGGTTTGTGTCACCATTTCTCATCAGCTCGATAATAATGATAGGATGGGACTGATGTTTTGTTTTTATTTGTTTGGGCTTTCCTAGCACACTTGTGTTGTTTGATCAGCGGAGTGAAACAAATAATAATAATATCACTTTTCTTAATTGATTTGTTGCAGCACCAGAGGCCGTTTCACAGTCCACCTCATGCTTCCCTCGGGCTTATACGATGCTTTAGTTCTCACCATAGTTACACTCATTATTTTGTAACATACTCGTAGCAGATCTGTAATTATTTTGCATATGCAAATATAGGCCCTCATTCCAGTTGTAGAGGTACCAACATAATAGCACTTGGAGGGGTTTTGTTTTTATTAAATCCCTCCCTCATGGCCTGTAGCTTATGACGCCACACACAGTTACAGCTATTTATAAATTCATTTATTTGATTTCAATCATCTTCGACCATATAAACTGTGTGGACTCTGGAAAAGCAGAGCCGAGAATAGAAAGAGGGGTTGACGACGCTATACACCTGCCTATAATTTTATTGTACGTTCAGTATCAAAATTTTATAATCTTAAATACTCCTGTTATTGGTTTATTTCTTAAGTATTTTTTCGAATATTGTACAGTTTTATATATTACCCTTTTGAAGTCATTAATTTAAACAAATGCTCTTAGTTATTCATGCACTTAATTAGCAATGTAAAAAAAACACAATATTTTCAGTAAGATTGAACTGTTTCGGCGGTTTTATTCCAAATTTCGATGACAGCTCAAGTAATTATTTATTTTCAGTATAAAGCTTGTATTATGTTTTGAAATAAACTATGTATGTTGTAATAAACAATTTCTTGCTACAACTGTTCACTGTCCAAAATAGAATTTAACTTCTGATGAATGAATACTGAATATTTAGAAGTAGGCTTAAAATCATACATTATTATTATTATTATTATTATTGTTATTATTATTATTATTATTATTATTGTTATTATTATGGAAGCAATAATTAAATATAAAATGAAGTAGCTAAATTACATTTATTTTTAATCAAAATTCCTTCTTTAATTTTCACACAATTTGCAGTTGGGTTCAATTTTAAATTCTGACTAATTATAATTATCCTAAAGACAACATTATGCTCCATTCATGTATTTATACACTGCTTAATCAGCATAACCTTCACTTATAGCTTCAATGTCAAGTCAAAGGTCAACTTTTTCCGAGTTCCTCATGTCACTAACAGCTGTAAAATATCCAGTGGTTCCAACAGGACCTTGGCTGCAGGTCTGCAGGCTCTACGGATCACAGCAAACTGAGTCGCTTTCTCCAGCAGTTCCTCTGAAATGTTATTGTCCGGGCCCTCTGCCCTCCTCAATCAGACATGCGTGATTTATCGCCTGGGCCACTGGGCCTGACAGCAAAACACAATGACACACACACACACACACCAAACACATACACACACTCAGACACACACAATCAGAAGCAGATGAATCTCATTTCAAAGACTACAGCTGCGTATAATTGGCCATGCAAGGGCAAAATAGAGCTATATTTCTTAAAAAAATCATAATGCCTAAAAATAATTTAGGGATGGTTTGGAAATAAGTAGGCCCATAGATGCAGCGCTGCTTAAATGATTCAAAAATAGAGCTGGAGAGAGGGAGAGTGAAGGAGGGAGAGAGGAGAAGAGGAGAGGCGGAAGGGGTGCTAGGCCTTGCCTTGAAATGGAGAGCCTGACTGGAATACTAATGCATCTGAATTTATGCATCTCCTCAGTCTGCAGCCCTGAGAGGGGGGTGGGGGAGACAGAGAGAGAGAGAGAGAGAGAGGGAGAGGGAGGGAGGAAAAAGGGTGTGAGGGTGGAGGTGAAAGGGGGCGGTTATGTAGAAAGAAGAGAAAAGTAAAACCATGGATGATTGATTCCATCCATCTATTTTAGTTCGAAATAATCCCTGATTTCTGGGGGGAGAGAAAAAAAAATGCCCCTGGATGGAAGTCAGAGCGAGCAGCCGAGCAAACAAGCAAAGCGAGCCGAGGTCCAGAGCAGCACTGCAGTATCCTTGAGCCTCATCCACCTCGTACTGCTCCACGGTGGAGTCCTTAAAACCCTCACCAGCACCTTCCAAATATGTCTTTAAAGAGTAACTGATGCCTCCACATAAATAAGTTACCAGTGAAAAATGATTGACTTGGGAAAATGTGTAAAGGACAGTGAGGAAAAAAATATAACAGGTGCAAGATGAAAGCACATTTCAGAGGTATTAAATGAAGAACTTCAGGTAATTATTTTTTCCAAAATGCTTGAGGTTGGATGACTCGCCTTTGCACCAGCAGATAATTGACGCTGTGAATCAGATCCTGAGTGAAAGCAGACTGATCATCAGACAGGATAGCAACAATAGAGAAGCAGGAGTACTGACTTGTGTAGCAGCAGTTTGGAGGATGAGCGGGTTGTTTACTGGCAGGGGATAATGGGAGCGGCTGACTCACACCTTTTTCATAATTGCATCTCATCTCAAACCTTCTGTTCTCTTTGAATTTATTCTGTATCCTGTTTCAAAGACTTTGGTTGGAAGTTAAGAAGTCAAAAGTGTAAAAAAAAAAAAAAAAAAAAAAAGTGGTTACCAAATTCTTCTAAATAAATTGTTTTCCAAAGCTTTTATTAATAGTGTTATTTTTCCCCCAAGCTTTTTAAAAAGAATATCTCTGAAGGTCAATAAAGTGAATAAAACACATTAGGATTAGAGAGGAGTAACTTTAAAGCAGGGTGGCAGAAATTTACTGAGAAAGCAGAAAAAAAAGTTTGTGAGGCACTGATATAGTGTTTGCAGTAAAACTGGCATGTGGGAGGTCAAAGAGAGGACATTCGACAGCACATTTATCTTTAATTGGAGAGGGGGGAGAGCGGAGGGCTGCAGTCTAGATGCCGTACAGTCAGAGAACACAGACAGCAGCCCACATGAGAGGACTCGTACATGAGAGTAATGAATATCGGCTGCTACTCGGCCGCGTGGCTGTATGACTTTTGGACTTTCTGTCTCATCTGTTGGTTTGAGTTTATAAAATCAACTCTGCATCACTCCTAAATTTTCTCACTTTCACAGTCAGATAATTCACCGTGTATTTTCACAACTCGTCTCTGCTCAGGTAACTGTAGGTCAGATCCTTGTCTTTATAGGCTACTGGTTGTTCTGTTGCATTTGTGGAAGTCTTAAAGGGGAGCACCATCTAAATTAAGAATTCAAATATGTCATTTCCTTGGCTGAGGGAAGTTCAGTCAGTTATTGTGAACATGTGCTACTCTCTCTCAAAGGCTCAAACCAGAGAAGAACGTCTCAAACTGTGATGTCATTGGGTACAAAGTCCAAAGCTCCATAGACAATGAATGGGAGACTGATTTTGTGGACCCACCGAGTATTTGTTTTCTTTTTCTTATACCCAAATGAGCTTTATTCTATTGTAGTGTTCTCAGCTCTGAAACAGAAAATGTACCCATTATAGTCAGAACACTCCCCTGGCTGCTCTCAGTGTCAACATCTTTCACCATTCATCGATAATGGAGCAGCTCCCATCTTTATACCCTATGACATCACAAATTTGAGTTTATCACCAAAATTTTTTATTTGGGGTTGAGTTGCCCATGTTAACTAATACTTTTTGGACTGTCTTAGACCACAGGAATAACTTGTATCAATTTTGAAAATGGGCACAGTTCCCCAGTAAAGCAATGTGTCCCAGCCTTTTGGCAGTGTGACTCCTTAAAACAAAGGAATGTTTACTTGTGATCCTCATAATCAACTGAATACTGCATGTCTACCAGTTGACTTAAACAAAAAAAAAACATTTTTTTTCTGAATAATCGTTAAGCCTGAAAACACTTAACAATGTCCAGTAATTCAAAAGAAAAAAAGCAAAGATTAGAGTATTTCAGTTGTTTTTGGTCTTTTTCTTCTTTCATATCCTGTTAGTAATCTTGGGACGCTATTGAAGTCTGGACATCCAGGTAGAAAACCACTGTCTTAAAGCTTATTCTACGTTACTGTTGTTGTAAGTGAGTCTTTAAATGGACAGGCAAAACATACAACAAAACATTTTCACGCTACTTACAATACAAGAAAAAAATACAACAACTAAAATAACTGAAAAATAATAACAGAAACATGTATTTAATATGTGAGCAATATGCAATATGTGAGGGTAAATATTTTCTTTTCAAAAAGATTTATCAAATTTTGGAATATAGATCATACCGTTACTAACAATGGCTGTCATCTATGGGTGGCATATTTTAAATTTACCAGTATTTTATCACTTGGGCGTGTTACATTTAATACATTTCTAATAAAATATTCCATAAGAAATCCCCAAATTAAATGAAAAAATATATATAGTGGCACCCAAACGCACTCATTTAAAGTAAAAATTTCAAAGCCAAAGTTCCAATACTTACAGGGGTCAACATACCAGAGCAGTAGTAATTAATGACAGAAGTGTATCAGGCACACAGGCCTCTGCTGTTGCCAACACATACGGCATATGCATTCCTGTTAAGGAATACCAACACTCCAAAAAGGGCGACACTTATTGAGATAGTTTGTAGACTAAAACAGCTTATTAGTTGCTGAGTATCTATAAATGACATGCCACAATTCACAACATATTCTCAGTATACTTCAGTTGAACGTGAACTTTTTACTCAAATGATGCAGCATTGGATGAAAAGTTCAAGTTCAACTGAAGTATTCTGAGAATATGTAGGTATGTTCATGAATTGTCACATATACTGTGTGGATAATCTGTTAAACATCTACAGACTTAAGCAAAACATTAGAACTGTCAGTCTATCTCTGTAAAGTCAGATTAACAGACTTTTAAAGAACCCTCCAACAGTCACACCTAATGGTTCAGACATTTCCTGTATCCTCTCTCGTCTTGAGAGAGTATGAGTGAGTGTTGCATGTTTTGAACTGTGTACACACATTGCTCTGTGATGCTTTTCACACTTGTTGCAGGGGGCATCTGCAAACTGATTCATCACATTTTCAGTGTATTTGTGCTCAGATGTAGTTGCACACTTGAAAATTCAAGCAGCTTGGAAAAATACAAGCAGCCATGCCACTGCAGGGCACTGCCACAACTTCAAAGTGAGTATGAGCAAAGCTGATAACCGATCACTGGAGGGCAAAGGACCTCTGCAGGTAACGACAGTGCATTAGTGAACAGAATCAATCCCGGAGTAACTGTAACTGGGAGCGGAGGAGAGAAGAAAGCAGATCTGGTGAGGTGGGAAAGGAGGAGAGGGAGGGTGTCGAAGAAGAAGACGGAAGAATCTGCAATATGACTAATCGCATAAC